GGAAGGCACGGCTCACCTTGAGGAAATGGGAGAGGAGATGCTGAATAGGAAACCATCAGAGAAGAGGGGGACAAGCCCCAGTCACCTAATGGTTAGAGGAAGACACTTAGAAGGGACTCGCCCTAATGGATCAAGCAGTTACAAATGGAGGCCAGGAAGTTTTGGTCACCATGCTACAAAAAAGATGTTGAGACCTTGGAAAAAGTTCAGAGAAGAGCAACTAAGATGATCCAAGGCCTGGAGACTAAAACATACGAAGAACGGCTGCGGGACTTGGGTTTGGCCAGTCTAGAGAAAAGAAGAAATAGAGGACACATGACAGCAGTGTTCCAGTATTTGAGGGGTTGTCACAAAGAAGAGGGGGGTCAAATTATTTTCCAAAGCAGCAGAGGTTAGGACAAGAAACAATGGTTGGAAACTGATCAAAGAGAGAAGCAATCTGGAATTAAGTTATTCCCATGTCATGAACTTTGATCTGAATCTGAGTGTGCCTTTCTGGTATTCTGACAGTGGTGGGTTAATCCTATTGTGTCCTGTCTTAGAGTTTGCGTGGGGTATGTAGATTTTAAGGGTCTTTGTCTTCCTGATCTATTTAGCTTCTAGCTGGAGGGTTCCAACCTTCCTGAATGGATTATTACATCTGCATTTCTAAAAGCTGGTTTCTGCTGAGTTGTCTTGCTGGGTGTGTGCGTGTGTCTGTGTGGAGAAGTTTCTGCCTTTTTAAAGATCTTCTCCATTATTCCTTTGGGGAAATATATTCTACCTTTTTAATATTCCCAAAAATATTTCTTTTCTCTGGATGGTCCCCACAATACGACGCAACGAAAATACACACGTAAATAGCATTTTTTCCTTGTGATTATCTTGGGTTTTGTATTCTTCGCCATCTTGGATTGCTCTGATTTTTATTTCATTTTTAAACTCCATGATATGCCTAGAGTCTAGCTAGAGCTGGTTGGTAAGTTCCAGGTGAGATCATTTTGCCCCAGAGCGTCTCGGCTGCTATTCCTCCCAGCTCTACTCCCTACAGAATCCCAGGGAGGAATATCCCCAGGGTACACACACCAAGGGTACACACATTTTATTTCATGACCACTCCCTGCCTTGGACAATTCAAGAACCAGGAGTGATGCTTCTGTTGTGAGAAAGAATGAGCTTCTGATCCTCTCCCTTCCTGCTGTGTGGGCAGAGTTTTGACCAAGTCACCTCACATCTCATTGTGTGAGGATCCAAGTGTGGGAGAACATGGAGAGACAGTGATTCTCCTTCAGCCCCAGCTTGGTCTTCTGCAGCAAAGGTGAGTCGCTTTATGGTCCATTCGGCATCCTTTCTGTGTTCTTTCCAGAATAACAGAGTTGGAAGGGACCTTGGAGATCTTCTAGTCCAACCCACTGCTCAGGCAGGAAACCCTATACCATTTCAGAAAAATGGTTGTCCAGTCTCTGTGTTTAAAAACTTCCAGTGTTGGAGCATTCACAACTCCTGGAGGCAAGTTGTCCCACTGTTCTCACAGGAAATTTCTCCTTATTTCTGAGTTGCTTCTCTCTTTGATTAGTTTCCATCCGTTGCTTCTTGTCCTGCCTTCAGGTGCTTTGGAGAATAAATGAACACCCTCTTCTTTGTGGCAGCCCCTCAAATATTGAAATACTGGTATCATGTCCTCCCTAGTCCTTCTTTTCATTAAACTGGACATACCCAATTCCTGCGACTGTTATTTGTATGTTTTAGCCTCCAGTCCCCTAATCATCTTTGTTGCTTTTCTCTGTACTCTTTTTAGAGTCTCAACATCTTTTTTTACATTGTGGCATCCAAAACTGGATGCAATATTCCAAGTGTAGCCTTACTAAAGCATTATAAAGTGGTATTAACACTTCATGTGATCTTGAATGCAAGATTCAACCCAGTAATTGCTGTTTAGTTTTAGTTCCATGAAGTTTTAGTTGCCTCCAAAAGTTGTGAATGCTCCAACACTGGAGGTTT